TTTTTTTTTTTTTTTAGCTCTTTTAAAAAAAACCCTATTCTTTTATTCTTCAATGCCATAATCTTCTCTTTTTTTTTCACTCTTTTCCTTATTAACATACTGTATTTTGCATAGTGTAAAAGAGTTGCAATGAAAAACGCCCATTTTAAATAGTTGGAAAACGAGACCTTAAGGCAGCATATATATGTTAGATGTTCCGCCTTGATGAAGGCCATAGTATAATGATGTTCATCAGGCAAAACTAAACTGCCAAAGAGTTCAAACATAGCTTAAAAACGGACAACTTCGTGGTACGCAAAGTAAAATAAGCATAGACAACTTCTACTAGCTGACAAGTGACAACAAACAACAAAAGCCTAAATGATAATAGAAAAAAATAAAAAAACCAGGCTTTTTTTTTTCACAAAGACAAAGACTTTTACACCAAATATCAACTAAAAACAAGTTTTGTTTCGTTACTCTCGCACAAAATCACACTATACAAGGTGCTGAGTTTTTCACTCCAAAACTCCAACTTCTTGATCCACTTTCCAGTAGTTGTTATCGTTGAACTCTTTCTCTCCTCCTGAACTTTCCTCCACCTTTGGGTCCTCACCCATCTCCTTGCTCCTCTTCATTGCTCCAGCTTCCCCTACTATCCCTTCTTTCAATGCTTGCTCCATCGCTTGCTCTGTCCCTTCTGCTTCCACTCCCACAAACTCCACGTCCTTCTCAAACAACGATCTGTCTGACCCATTTGGAATCATGGATTCGGTTTTGACCTCAGGCATTGGTATGTCAAGGTTCATTATGTTCTTGCTGTCATCATCATCACCATCATCATCGATAAATGGGTTCAGACCAGTGCCACTCGCTTGCATATCTGATTCTCCCCACCCAACCCATTCGGGTGGCTGTTCAGCAAAAGCTTCTTCGGCTTTCTCTGAGGTTTTGAAGTCGAAGAAATCCAGTGGACTCTCCATTTGGAAATTGGTTTCAGTTGTGTTCAATGCGTTGTCTTTTGAGTTTCCTCTTAGGTCATCGTCTTCTTCTCCAACCACAACCTCGTCATCGTCACTACTGCTAGTGTTGGTATTAAAGGTTCTGTTCAGTTCCATGTCCTCTATCATCTTCGAACCCGCTGTGTCAGAGGGTGTGCTGCCGAATCTGTCGTCTTGGAATGTGAACCAATTCGAATTTGTAAACAAGCTGCGGCAAAGTACCAAAAAAGAACTAAGTCATTATTTAGAGAGATTGTCACCATTCTTTTTCCGTCAAGTGAGGTGAGATAATTCTATCACCAAAATACAGTAAGTGAGGGTTTAAAGTAAAGACATGTCTAAGTAAACATCCTGCATAAACTGACCTTCCTTGGTCATCCCCGAGTCTTAAGGATGAAATTACTACTTCAGCGGATTCATCGTCGAAGTAAACATCCTGCATATATGAAACACATTCCAATTTTCAATAGCTAAACTGTTATTAGCGTACGTTCCCCCATATGTATCTTAGTGTGATAAAAGATGTCGATATTTTCAAAAAATGGGTGAAGAGAATGTTTGCAAGACTTACATCATCGTCTCTATCAATAGCATTGTGGTCCTGACCAGTTTTAAAAGATGATAAATTCAGTACCAGTTAAATCAATCATAAATGAAGAAAAAGCAATAGGATGAGAATATACCTCTTCATTGTCATCGTTTCCATAGATTTTGTATCTAAATGCCTGGCTTAAGTTATTGGCCAGAGCTGCAACATCATAATCCCGGTCTTCCTCATCACTATCTCTTGTCCTATCTTGTACGGTGGTTGGGCGCCTACATGTAACAATGAGTTTATGAATTATATAACCAAGACGAGTAAAGTTAAAATCCAAAACCCAAGACCAGTTCATGACGCACTCACTGAGTGGTCTCATCATGATAAGAAATATCATTTGACTATGATACCATCAGTCATCAATGCAGAATCATATTTACAAGGTTTCTCCAAGAGGAACAAGGATCACATAAATATTTACATCCACAATCAACATGATATAGCAGACTGACCATTTCAATGATTACTAGATGACTGTAGAGAAGATTTTAACATACCCGCATCCCCATCTGTTGACATTTTCAACAGTGTTGCGCTCCTGCAGAACACTACCTTGCCACTCATTCCATTCGCTGTTTTCCTAAAATTGGGGGATGAGCAAAGCCTAGTCAGCAAACATGGTAATTTCTGTGAGAGTGCAGGGACCGCTCACCACAAGAATCAACTAATGGTTTTATATTCTTTATTATGCGTTTAAAGTGACAAAAAAAGGCAGAAGAAAAACTACACGGCAGAAGATTATATAATTTTTTTACCAACCTTAAGGTATGCATTTATCTGGCCGTTGCTGGTACTCAACTGACTAAGTTTATTTGATATTCTTGTGATATGCCCAACATACCCGACGCGAGGAGGTTTTTTCCCGCTGGCGGCTACAGTGGGCTACCTCACACAAAAGAGAAAAGGAAATGCCAGAGAATTTAGCTAATGAACACTGGATCAGTATAAGTCAATGGATCTAACTTGGATCATATACTGATGATCAGTTAAAACCTTTGCGAACATAACACATGGTAATACCTGGCTATCACCTGAGAGGTCTGAGTTCCTGTCTGAAGAGAGAAATTTGCCAATCAGATTGCATTCTCGAAGAATATGGTTAACCATCACATCACTCTTGTTTTCCAAACAAGAAAGTATTATACTCTCTACTTGATGATGCAGAGCATTATTGTATGGGTACCTTCACAAGTTGACAGTATTCGATTATTTAAAAATTGAGTTGAAATAGCAACATGGAGATCATGAATTTGAAGTTTAGCAAACCTACTCGAAAAACAGATCAAGGGTTCTTTTAATTGTTCCTGAACTAACTAACTCCTTTTGTGCAGCTTCACTTCCAGTTTTTAACAAAACTGCAATGAACTCCACAATCTGAAACAAAGACAACAAGATAACAGTCAAAATAAGCATAGAGACTATACATATATTAGAAGCACTGTTGGTATCCTAAAACCTATAACCTCTTCCCCAAAAAATTCTCAATATTTGGACCTGACCTTTAGACGATGCTTTCCAAGAGGAGGCCTAAGTTCCCCATATGTTGTAGGCAATACCGTGCTGTCAGATGCTACAGAAAGAAGCATAAGCAAGTCGCCTGCAGAAAAAAATATTGGTCATTTAAGGCCATTGAATACGTAAACCCTGATTTGAAATACTTGTATGAAATAAACCTACACATCCAAGATATGTTAAATAAGCATCCAAAATTTATGGAATTAACACAAAACCAATTTCCTTTATATCAAATGTAAACCAAAATAGAACAGACAATAAAGCGTAGGAAGATCAAACAAGACGTACGGGTAAATAATAAATAAACTAGGTGTCCTCACAAATATAAAGTTTTATCATGGTTGACTATTATCCGTTTGCGCAATATGACAATATTACATCATGGAATAGGATCCAACTTACTGAGTTTGGGCAGCATGGCACTAATAGTTTCCGGGGAAACTGGAACAGGAGACTCAAACATATGTTGACCTCTATAAGAATTGAACATTGAAGATGACGCAGAAGATCTCCTCGGATCCAACAGAGAGGTGCATACTGCAAGTGAATGAACTAGACTCGATTTTGAATGTGATTCGTCAAGAGCATGACCAAATATCCTAGCAACGTAGCTGCAAAAACAGGAAAAAAGTTTTGCTGAAATTTTAAACACTCTGTATCAATCTACCAAAGCAAAAGGAATCCATCATCGAAGAAAAGTGTACAGACCCAGGGCTAGAGAGTTGTGTAGCTAAAGCTGACGGTGCATTCCGAGATATAGCACATAATGTCTCTGCTGCATTAGCCTGAACCTCCGCAGGACTCTGATTCAAGTAATAACATATCAGTATGAAAATGATAGAAGAAATTAGTAATATGAGATTAAATATCCTAGATTTACACCATCTACAGGCATCAAACAGAAAGCCAAGTGTCTTTTTCTTTGGGATGATTATAGAAAAGTTTTACCACTTACAGTTGGTTTAAGTTTATCCACAATCATTTCAAGTAAATTGCTATCGGCCAACCATTGCATCACATCCAGAAAGTTGGGATAGACATGATCGTCAGCCCCGACCAGGCGAACCAAAACCTAGACAATGTCGTATAAATATCATAGCCAAAAATAATCTCTGACGCCAAACAAAGTTGCGCTGAGTTTAAGACAACCGAATTACCTCCATAATGGATGTTATCCCAATCAAATCAACCAACTGACAGAAAACATTTTGATGCCCCTGAGATCATCAAAAGTTAATTTGAGAGCTGTAGCCAGTGTAGGAACCTCACACAATAAATACATATAAAGTCAACTAAATTGTCTGTAATATGTAATTGCCCACAATTCGATTGAAGAATAAAGTCATATCAGTCTCATTTTGTTACAATGTACTTGATCGACAGACATTCACAGATTACAGTGGACTCCTACATATCAATTCTGAATAGCAACATTAGCCGAAAAGAAGTCTTATGGTACAGTACTCCTACATAGTTCCAGTAATCAGCTCAAATAATTCCCATAAAATATTATTCAAGTTTTTTAAAATCTAAATTTCCAGCCAGTTATAGTCCAGCGTGCATAATTCTAAACAAAATCATCACCGTAAAACTCAAGCAAACAAGGGGAAAAATAAGAATAAGATTACTATCCGTTATACTATATGTTATTACTTACTTTTACATAATTCATAAGCGCTGCAGTCTTTCTGATCATAAGGCAAATGACAACCTGAACCAAAGAAAGAGAAGCAAGGATCACCTACTGGAGCCTTAAAATGAAACCATGTGTACAAACAAAAACAAAAACTTCCGGAAGTACCTTGCTGAAATAGCCTGCCAGCAATGCACTATGAGGACGATTTGGTTCCAGAAAGGAAAAAAGCAAGTCCATCAGCTGCAAGATAAAATTAAGCGAACAAATGAGATATAGGGTAACAATAAACCATATTCCAAATGAAAAAAAAAAAAAATACCTCTTCGTCCTCCACCAAAGTTTTTAGAATAACATCAATTTCACATGTAAATATTTCACAAGAGATGAATGGATACCTAGAAGAAGAAGAAGAAGTAGAAGAATCTATAATTAGGTAGAGAGAAAGCAATTCCAGAACCATGCAAAATAAACGCGGATAAGAGACAAAAGGAACATATGGTTAGCAAAGTAATCTAGTTAGAATCAAGGAAGTAAATTACTTGAAAGCACGTTTACTATCAGCATCCTCTGGAGGTTCTACAACAATGTACCGCAGTAATTGCTCCACTTGAGCTTTATCCCTGACACTGCAAACATTAAATACCCAATCAATAAAGTATTCCAAGAAAACCCGAATGAGAAATATGGGACTCCTCACTGAAACACCACATGGCTACCACAGCCAAACAAAGGGTTTATCTGGTTCTATGAAACAGATGAAGAGGAATAGAAGCCAATTACAAATGATATAAAAAGCTTACAAGTTTATGAGCCGGCTATTCAAAGCCTTGCATTCTTGAATAATCTCTTCCTCATCAAGAAGCTCTTCCAACGTGAAATTCTCTTTGTCTAAAATTGTCTCCACCTATGTTGGTAACATAATGAAAGAAAATCAGCAGATGAACAATTCCAAACTTTGATTAACTGGCGGCAAGTGATATTGACAACATCCTCGAGAACAGTAACCCATCCAGCCGGAGATATTGAGCTCAGGGAAGGAGAACGAAGGATGGAAATAAGAGCAGAAGGCGTCAACAGCAGTAAGAGGTATGAATTAATCAGGAAAAAATTGAGATTCTAGTAAACAGAAACTATAAGAAACTCAATTAGTTATCCGTTAGACCATCCAATTACGTCTTAACCTAGTTCAAAAGCATATCAGTTTTGTGTGGACAACTCAAGATAAACGCAGAGAAAGAAGCAGCGTTTCAACTCACAGGAGATGACGCAGAAAGAGATGTGAGCTTCCAGAACATGGTGGCGATGGAGGAGTAGAGCCGTAAAGCTTCGCCGTAGCTGAAAAGATTAAGGAGAACTTGGCTAGATCCGCCAAGAAAAAAACTTAACCTAGCAGTGAATCTAGGTAATCGCTTGTTCGCGGTGGAGGAGTAGCGATTTTTGAGCTCGAAAACCCTAAATCGATCAGTGAAGATACAGATAGAGAGATCCTAAGATGATGGAAGCAGAGAGAGAGAGAGAGAGAGAGAGATGAGAGATCGGAGGTTGAATTTTTGAAAATCCGAGGCCGAAATTTGCATAAAGAAGGGGAAAAAGTAAAAAAAAAAGTTTCCCTTAGCTAATATTTTCATTTTATTAAAATTTTAATAAAGTTGAGTTTATTAATTAATTAAATCGCCATTTTTCTACAGATTTGTGTCTCTAATTTTTAGACTAGTCGCTTGTGTACGATTGATGATCATGACGAATGGTGATGATAGTTCATTTATGGTCATCTGTATTGATACTTCAATTGAATGATCCTCATATAGTATTTTTGGTAACAGAGAGATGGGATACTCGCGTCATCAGCAGGTTCCTTGTGATGAAGGTGACATTTGTTTTTTTCTAAAAGTCAGCAATTTTGCGGAATAGAGAGAGTTGGCTAAAATTGTGTTACAAATTTTACAATGGGATGATGGATATTCATATAATAAAATAAGCAATCACTTTTGTTGATAAAAAAAATGCAAATGATTGTCTTAAATATGTGATGAGTGATGTATGTAGAATCAAAGCATAAAAAGGACAAAATTTTGGTTGAAGTGTCAAACTAAACAACAAAATATTTTAGTGGAACTCTGTGAAAAAGAAAACTAGAAAAGGATTCAACTTTACACAAACCTTGTGTTTTTACCATTTTACGTGTCTGGAAACAGGATCACTCGTAAAATTACTGTGTTCGGCCATCATCGTCAATATTTGCTATGAAAGTGTTAAGATTTGCAACCAATAAAAAATCGGATCAAACAACTTGATAAAATAATTGTCAATCTTGTACCCCTTAATCTACCTTTTATTAAAGACCTGTTTAGTTGTTTTAGTTCTTCGCTTAGCTTTCTAAAATTCGCCAATTCGATGTGAAAATGCACACTTCACAGACAAATTACTTGAAACAAAAGATCCAAAGAGATATGAGATACTTAATGATATTTTTTTATTTTTTCCACAACTTCATCCAGAGAAAAAAAGAAAAGAGAAGCTTGAATTTAAACAAAGTTCAAAGTACACACTGATTGTGAAAATATAGAACAATAATGGATCAACAACGCCAGCTCTTGGAATGAATATTAGTTGGAGAAGAAGATCCAACAACTTTATCAACGAACTTCCTCAATCCCTTCTTCTTCTTCGGTGTTTTCTTCTCATTCCTATCGTCTCTCTTCCTCTCTTCTTCAATCTCTTCCTCAAACTGTGAGCACAGCTTAAGAACTTGCTCCTCCACATTTTTAAGTCTATCTAGCAAAGTTCCTTTCCGCTCGGTCTCCTCCATGACTTGCTCCATCGAACGGATCTGTACCTTCCCTATGCTCCTCGGTGACGACAAGTCCATTGACGATGGCTGAGTCCCGCTTGATGGAGTTGATGGGCTCGAGCTTCTCGGCGAGCTTCCTTTCATCTCCTCTAGCTTCCTCACCATGAAATCAATACGATCCAATCTTGAAAGGATCGGTTCTTCCACGACAGCCATTATTGATAACACAAAGGACAACGTTTTATGAGCTTTGGTTGTGTCGGAATAAGTTAAAAGACAGTATACGTATCGAAAGCGAAACTCGTTTTCTCTGTTTAATAGAGCAACTGGAGAAAGAAGATCGTCGCCACATTTAATATTTGCAGAGAGAGTTCATGTAGTCTCACACGTGTTGTCGATAACACGTGGTGGTTACGGGTCGTGGACACCTCTTCTGCCTCATACGTCTTAACATTACCCATTCTTCCTTATCTAATCCCAAAAAGTTTCTTTAGATTATGTCGGAAACAAGATAATGTTTTTTTTGGGGGCGTTGCATTAAAACATTATCTAATCCCAAAAATATTTAGCATAACTCATGCATGCGAGTATGCGACAATATGTAAAATGCGCTCGTCGTGCGTCTTCATCTTCACCATGCCAATTTGACTGGGCCTGTACTATTCAACCGGTCGAATAAAATGGGCCTGTACTAATTAACTGTCCAATAAAAACGCTCGAAAATTTAAGCCCATATAAGAATCGATTGATGTATGCAAAGGGGGTGAAACAGACTGCGACTGTAGTTCTGAGTAATCAATGGTGTCGTCGAAGAAACCCATTGAGAAGAAGGCGAGGAGCGATGGCGTCAGTAAAACTGGTGGTCGGAGTACCCGCAGCTCCGGTTCCAAAGCGAAGAAGACGACAAATAAGGTTAACATTGTGAAGAAGCAGCCGGAGATTCACGAGATCTCGGACTCTTCGAGCAGTGACTCTGTGGAAGAAGCAAATAGACGTGATGAGCCGAAGAAAAGTAATGGCGTCGTGAGCAAGGGCCGTAATGGAGCGAGCGGAGGAAATTCGAAGAAGACGATTAAAAATCGAGAAGAGGAGGACGGAGGTGTGGAAGATGCTAAGATGTTTAGGTTTCCAATGAATCGGATTCGGCGGATCATGAGAACCGACAATTCTGCCCCACAGATTATGCAGGATGCTGTATTTCTTGTTAACAAAGCCACGGTATAGTAACAAATCAATAGTATTAGTCCTATATATAGTACATGGCTTGAGGAACTTGACTCCATACATGTTTTGATGAATTTTGGAATTATCAAATTCGAATCAGTGTTAATTAACAAATTGCTGCAGTAATGAAATTTTTGTTTTCTGTTAGTTAAGTTGGGGGGGGGGGGGGGGGATTAACGTTATTTGCTACAGCTCCATGTGTTTTCTTAAGTGATTTTAGATGCTACTACGTGTAGGATTAGCTTTTGCCTTGTGTAGATTTGCGCTCCTTACTTTCAGAACTGATAGATCCTAAACACATTAGAAAGTCCAAATTCCTCTAACCAGCTGGAGAGTATTCCCTTAAGGAAAGCTTAGCTCAAGATTGTGCTTTGGATATCCTGTATCTTGTGATCAAAACCTCAGAGATTCTTAAGATGAATGTTTAGTTTTCATGTATCAGAACTCAGCATTGCTTTTCTCCCTTTTTGATTTCATGCTGTGTTAAACAAAATCGTATTGATTGTGTTTACATTATCTCGTTTTTGTATTTGAAGGAAATGTTCATTGAGCGGTTTACTGAAGAAGCATATGAAAGTTCTGTCCAGGACAAAAAGAAATTTATCCATTACAAACACCTCTGTAAGTTCTAAGTTTTATCCGTATTTGTATATAGTATCTAGAATCTGAAATAATGAAGATGTTAGCCTCAATTCCTGTGTTCACCGATTATTTTTGAGGCATATGGTTTTCATTTGGGGTTTCTGTCTTCTGCACAAAGGCTAGTCCAGTCTCAGGAAAAGTTTAGATGATGAGTTAACCCGTTCATATCAGATGCATTACTAACATAATAGATAATGACATATTTTTCACCAATTTGTATTTACTCTTTGGCAGCATCCGTAGTGAGTGAGGACGAGAGATACGAGTTCCTTGCAGGTATTACACATCCTCCGAAGTATTAGTTATTGAATTCGTTTTAGTTACTGGTAACTTGATGTAAGGTGTAAAATGTTGAACGCAGATTGTGTTCCTGAGAAACTAAAAGCAGAGGTCGCGTTGGAGGAGTGGGAAAGAGGCATGACAGATGCAGGCTGAAATGAATCCGGTTGGAATCCAACTGAATCGTTTGGCTTAAAATTTTGTGTCATGTCCTGGTTTATTGGTTCCATTTTCCCAATATTCACCTTCCTTAATAGCCCCCTAATGAGATTGCACTTGCACATATTTGATCTAGAATGTCTACAACTTTTCTTATATTAGTACCAGTCCAATTTGTAAGAGTTGTCGGAATTATAATATTTTTTTCTTTTCTTTCATATTATAATTTGCCAGAATTGTTCTTACAAATCAACATTGTAATATTAGCAAAAACAAGCCAATTACATAAGAACTTAGTCCCTTACTTTAACCAATTGTAATTTTTTTCTACATTTTCATTTTTTTTTTTCACATTCTATTTTTTACGTTTTTAATCCTGTTTGATTTATTCTCGACGATATTGTGTTATGAAAATAGTTCAAATAAGAATTTTGTACTGAAAATAATTCAAATAAGAATTTGGGGGTATTTTCCAGCGACTGAGAGAAGCTCTCAGCCGGACGATCCCTAAAACCCCTTTCCCTCCTCTTTGGTTCGTTCGGGAAATCGCTTCGTGCCATGGATTCTAATGTGAGGAGGACGATGACCAGCACCCAGGGTTCGTCCCCTTCTCCGAAGCCATCCAAGTTCTCTGTGTACCGTAACCCGGCTCTCGCCGCCGCTTCTACCGCCAATAGCCTCCGTCCCTCGAAATCCGTCCTTTTCTTCATATTCTTGCTCTCCACCGCTTCTGCTTTCTCTCTCATCTCCTTCATGGCCGGGTACGTGCCAGCTATAGCTTGAGCTTCTTACTGGAGTAAAGCATTGCCTCTTAGTTGGATTTTTGGAGTATTTGCATTGAGTCTTTGTCTAGGTTTTGGAATATATCTTCTGGTTACGGAGACTGTCCCGTCTTGATTCATCAGTGTGTTTGCTTTCTCTGTGATTTAGGATTGTGTTTTCCTCATATATCTGGGAATGATCTAGCACGATGATGATATAAAATCTTATTAGGCATCATTGTTGATTGAAAATTTGCTTGTTTATATCATGTTGCAGGGAGAAATGGTTGACCAAAGCTTTAACATTCGGAAAAATATCTCAAGAGGCAGCTTGTGAGTTGCATTTACTCTTGACAGATTTCCTTTTTTTTTTCCTTATGTTTTTAGTTTCTTAATGTATATACCTTATGTTGCAGATGTCACTGTGAAAGCCTGGCAGGCGGTGGTGACTTTGTTTTGTATTGGAGCGGTGATGGCTTTGTCCAAAGGCATATCCCTGCACAGAGCAAAGTTTACTGGTCAAGCTGAAACTAAATCTTCCTCTAAAGAGACCAAAGATCAGTTTTCTCTATCTAGTCGTCAGCTTGAACTTCTCGGGATAAAGAAAAAAGCTGACCAGAGTGTATCAGAATTTCCAAAGAGTCGCCCCGCAGTGAAACCTTCACAGTCATTGGAGCCGCTTGTCCCAATACATCATCAAACTCTTACTGGTTCAGCACATAAGTCTTCTGGTGGTGGTGATAAGCTGAATACCCGTAGTGGAAGCCAGATGAGTTCATTTAGCACTCCCTCCAAGCAAATGAGTTCACCGTCTCTGTATCTTGTCCCTTCCAGCTCACCAGTTTCTTCTAACCGTGCTTCATCTGGTCAGGATAAAGCTGTTTCTAGTCCTTGGTCTGGTAGACGGAGTTCTGCAAAAGACATAGCTACAGAGGAGCAGCTTGAGCAACTTTTGGCAGAAATAGATGACAAAATCACTGAGTCAACTGAGAAGATGCTGACACCCCCACCAACAGTTGGGAGTTTTGCCATGGCTAGTCCAAGTACAGTTGGTGGCTCAACTGGTGCATCTGGAACTACTAGGAGTACACCACTAAGACCTGTCAGGATGTCTCCTGGTGCTCAGAAATTTACTACTCCCCCAAAGAAAGGAGAAGGTGATTTCCCCAACCCAATGTCCTTAGAAGCAGCTATCGAAGGTTTTGGGCACCTAGGTGTCTATCCTCAGATAGAGGACTGGCGTGACCGACTAAGGCAATGGTGTTCCTCAGTTTTGCTCAAACCTCTTCTTAACAAGGTTGAAACCAGTCATATTCAGGTTTGTATATTCAAGTCCTTTCTAATTAAACGTAGGCCTTCCTATACTTGTCGGCTGATGAATGAATTGATGACCACATCCGAGTCAGAGCAGAAGGAGAATTTCTAGTTTCTCTATGATGCTGGAAAGAAGAATTTAAACCTTTTTTCATTTGTGTAGGTAATGCAAACAGCATCAAAGCTCGGTCTTAATGTCACAGTAAGTCAAGTTGGAAGTGATTTGCCAACAAATGGAACAGCTACGACTGCCTTACCGGTTGATCGAACAAAGGGGTGGCAGCCATCTTATTCTCTCGATGAAGATGCTATTCTTCATCAGTTACGCGCTAACCTTGTACAGGCTATTGATGCTTCCATGCGTAAGTATCTCCTAAAGCTTCTAGGATGATATGGTCCGAAAGGCTGTCCTTAAATTGAAGTACTGTTCTGTTCTTTTGAAGATAATCATCAAGTTAATATTTGATGTTTCTCAATAAAAATAACTGTGTTTTAGGAATGTTGGAATCGAAAGGATATCTGAGAGAAATAAATCAGTAATGATATCCTGTCATTTTATGTGTTATTGTTAAATGTTTGGGTCTGTATATAGTTGCTAATTCTTTCTTCTGGCATCTGCAGAAAAGTTGCGTACAGAGAACCAGCAGTTCCAGCAACAACAACAGCAACAGCAAGCAGCACTAATCCCCGTCATGCAGGAATGCGTTGATGCCATAAGTGAACATCAGAGGCTTCAAGGCTTAATGAAAGGAGAGTGGGTCAAGGGCCTACTTCCGCGCAGCAGCATTCCAGCAGATTACACAGTGCAAAGAATCCAGGGTATCAAACATTCAAAAAACATTCCATTTTAAATTTGAGTCGATTAATCATGACTCTTATAACTCTAGGCTTTTGGCAGAACTCGCGGAAGGAACTTGTGTGAAGAACTATGAATACAATGGAAGAGCAGATACTCGTGAGAGAAACAAGAAATGGAGCCTGGAGCCTCCAACCGATTCTCATCTGCTTCTGTACTTGTTCTGTGCCTTCTTGGAACATCCAAAATGGATGCTACATCTGGACCCCAGCTCTTATACAGGGACTCAGGCGAGCAAGAACCCGTTATTCTTAGGGGTTCTGCCTCCAAAAGAGAGATTCCCGGAGAAATACATCGCAGTGGTATCGGGTGTACCTTCGACACTCCATCCTGGTGCATGTGTTCTTGCTGTTGACAAGCAAAGCCCCCCGACGTTTGCCTTGTACTGGGATAAGAAACTCCAGTTTACTCTTCAGGTAATGATAAATTTTAGTGTATCTTTATAGTATGCAAAGAACAGTCACATATTCAAAAGAGGTGAAATGGGTCTTTTGGTTTGTGATGAACTTGTTTGAAAATGGAACAGGGAAGAACAGCGCTATGGGACTCTATGTTACTGATATGCCACAGAATCAAGGTGGGATATGGAGGTATTGTTCGCGGGATGAATCTTGGTTCTTCAGCCCTTAACATCCTCCAAGTTGTTGAGTCCGAAATTGACGATTAAAGAAACTGGATTTGCTTGAGACAGGGGAGGTCAAATGTTAAGAAACGCCATTCTATTTTGCCATTGTTAGACGGAAGTAGTGAGATTAGTTTCTTTGGATAGCAACTTATTCTTCTGATAAGTAAATATTGAGGATGCTTTCTTTTAACCACTCTATAAATCAGTTGGTGGACAACTTACACTGTTCATCAGAAAACATATGAAATGACTTTTTTTGTTTGCAGCTCAGTACATCATAAAGTTGAGTGAGTCTTTATCACTTGTCAAAGTAACAGTAAACACTACTCTGAGTCTATCTCAGGGTTACTAATGTTAGATTGGTTCTTACATTCCAACTGAATATGAAACTTCAAAGCAAGAACCTTTTTCTGCAGCTGCTGTTAAAACGAACATACAACACATACTTGTAAAGTTGTAATGAATCTCCACTACATACACGTGTCTTTGCTTGTCTGACTATAATTAAAATGGAAAGTTGGAAACTGAAAATTTTAGCAAAACCGTATGGTTTGAAAAACCAACGATATGTTCCTCCATTGTGCTGGACTGGATCAATGGATACCGAATTTTGAAGCCATGCCTATCTAACTAGCAGTAGAAGTCACAACAGCATAAGTATACTGAAAACTGAAGGGAATGTATCAGGTTCTAATAATCACCGACTAGTTGCATCACAGATTCACAATTCCTTGTCTTCAAGCTGTGCCTTTTCTGCTGCCTTTTCAGTTTCCTCTACAACAAAGGCCTTGAGCGATTCAACATCTCTTTTACCTGAGTTTACAAATGCATGTATAGAAAAAGAATATTAGCATATAGTATCACTCAGTTATAGGATTGCAAAGGTCAAAATGTATAGAAAAAGAAGATTAGCATATAGTATCACTCAATTCATGTGCCTGTGTGTGCAAAACCAAGGAACGCATATAAAAGCACATTTACCTTGGTATTTTGTAACTTCCTCTCCATTGTAAAATAGCTTAAAAGTTGGATAAGAGTGGATCTCAACTTTGGTGCAAACAGCTCTGCTAGTACCACAATCTACTTCACCAATCTCAATTTCATCGTCTCCTTCCATTGTTTTTCCCAATTCTTCCCACAAATTCCCCAATTTTTTGCTGAAATTCAGATCCATTTTCATCAGCAAGTGACAACAAGCCAAACTAACAACGAACTGTCACGAAACAAGAACACTAACCAGTGCTTACACCAAGGAACACAAAATTTTACAAACCATGCAGTATCTTTCTCCTTCACCTGAACCAATAAACATGGAGAGAGTAAACATCCCGTTCTGTTTCTGAACTATGAATGTACACACTACACCAAGAGATGCAACCATCTGAAGTTGGATATGTTAATTTGACAGGGGTAACTTTACAAATTGATCCAATTTTAAAAATCGAAAACAATACTAAAGCATAAGGATATAGAAATGACATCGATGAGAATGCTCCATATGGAGTATGTAAAAACAGAAAGGTCACTTAAAACGTTTTAATCCCTGGTACCTCTACGGAAGCTAGTCATAAAAAACTGAACAAAGTTGAAATGGAAGTCTCAACTGAGCTAGCTCAGAAATAACCCTTTTGAGCAACAAATCTTTATACAGATTCCGCTAACCTGTTCTCACAATAGGATCATCAAAGGAACACAGAACACACATTCTAAATCTACCTGATTCCAGTAAAAGGCTTGAGTTCACACAAATGAAAATATTCTTGGGATATAGCAAAAGTAGGGATTCAGATCCTTACCTTGTCAGAAAAAGTTTCTGGGGTCAGTGTGATGACTTCTGCTTTAATTAAGTCAATCGGAATACAAAGGAGAAGTATAATCATGGGAGCAACAAGCCGAGCACCAACCGTCATCATCGCAAACCAATATTTCTAGTTCACCAGTTCTGGAACTCTCTCTTCCAATTTCAAAACTTGCAATAAAAAAAATTGTTTTTTAACCACACTAATTCGAAACATGAATAAATGGAAAAGATTTCTAGAAAACTAGAGGACAGCATCTGTCTTGAGAAACTTATATGTAAGGAGAAAGACAAACAAGAGTAAGCAAGAAGAGTGCCAAAAACGTTTAGGAAACATGATTCAAAAAGCCTCAAAAACTTTTAGCAATCTTTAACCATCTGATCGAATATAAGGGAGTATGCAATTAGAAAATATAATATCAAAAACGAAACAAAACCCCTCCCAACAGAGATAGAGAAAACATGATTTTCACCAGATTGATAACACCAGCAGAATTTCAAAACCGATCATAATGTGATGTAGTCCTGAATGTGAAGTAACCCAATAAGTGTAAATTAGTGGACTTGAAACCGTTGAGAAACAACAAACTACAAAGGATCAGCACAATGCACTAAGAGGGAGTATAAGACACCTACATAGCCAAAAAAGAAAAAATTTTACAAGAAACAACCAATGTTTAATCAGATTTTGTTGTTGTTGCAAAACAGAGTTTAATGATTTATTTTTTTTAAAGACTGCAACTTTTAAAACCTTGAGGCTTTATTAAGCAATTTCTCCCAGGAAAAAAGAAATAGAACCCGAATTCTGAACAAGGGAGAACATTTTTCCTTCCAAATTCGGATATGGATCCGATGATATTATAAAGAAGCTAAGCAGGTGGAGATCTAAAACTAAGAAGAAGGAACTGAAGCGAGATTCATTGAAGGGGATCATAGATTCATAACAGAAGAGTAGAGAGATGAATCTCTAAGATGTGTATGAATCGCTTACCTTCTTCTGTCCAAACACCGAGCAAAAGAAAGAGAGAGGTCAAAGGATGTTTTCTTGCCCGAAACGAAGTCAGTAAGATATATATATATAAGCCCAATAGTTAAGGCCCAATAATACTTATTTCCTGTCCGTTTTGTGGGTCACGTGTCTACCATAGCCATTTCTCTTCGTGTATCTGCAAAGACCGGCGCCGATGATGAACAAAGGCGGTGGTTCTGGGGGCGGAATGGCCGGATCCGGTGGAGGTAGTGGACCGACGGCAGCTGCTGCGGCCGCGGCTTTACAGAAGCAAAAGGCGTTGTTACAGAGAGTAGAATCTGACATCACCTCTGTTGTCGATAACTTCACGCAAATCGTCAATGTCGCAAGGGTAAAACTGGTTTCTTTCGGGTTTTACACATAGGTCTTTTTTCAGAACATGCCTTGAGAGTATCGATTTGCTTTAAGATCACTGCTTACTGAGACGTGAAACATCTTTGGTTTTGGGTAGGTGAGTGATCCGCCGATGAAGAACTCGCAGGAATCATTCATGATGGAGATGCGAGCTTCGAGAATGGTAAAAATGACTACTTTAATCCATCCAATTCGAATGAGTTCTTTATTTGAATCTCACGGTAGCAAAAATGTTTTGAATCTCTGATACGTTTTTATTTGTAACTATTTGTTTCGATTTGGTTTGTTTTGGTAGCTTATGTGTTTGCTGAATGGTTTATTTTAGTTAGGCATATGGATGGCTAGGGAAGCATATGTGGGTTCAAAGTTCACAATATATTTGTTCTATTTTGAGTCACTGAAACATTCACTCATGATTCTCCAAAGTAAATGTTTACTTTGTTCAAAAGAGACATGGGTTGTTTTGTTAACTTCCTGGATAATCTCTTTTAAGCATATGGATTATGGAATTTACATATAGAATACGGGCTTCATGGGTTAGGGCAGCAAATGTGGATAAACCTTATAATGCTTGGAAAACTTATATGAAACATTCACTAATGAGTCTCTCAAGTGTTGTTTTATAAATTCTTTTGCTTGCTTATTCCTTTGTTGGTGTGTTGTTAACTGAGTTCCTCAACAATGGTGGCAGGTTCAAGCAGCTGATTCTATTCTGAAACTTGTATCGGAACTGAAGCAAACCGCTATTTTTTCTGGATTTGCATCACTAAATGACCATGTAGAACAAAGAATTGCAGAGTTTGATCAAGAGGCCGAGAATACAAATCGATTGTTGGCTAGAATAGCCGATGATGCATCTGCCAGTCTAAAAGAGCTAGAGTCACACTATTACTCTTCTGCTCAGAGATTGGATATAGACATCTGATATACAACAATGGCAGGAGGCACTAGTCTGTACCATTAACAGATAGACAATTTGGTTCATAAAACAGATGAAACAGCATTAGTAGAAGCCATTAGAGGAGGATATGCAATTTGAAGTCATGGACAAGGACCGTTTTTGCACAATCCTTTCCCCCTTTATCACATTTCCTCCACCATGCTTTCATTGATACTATAATAATATGTAAAATCTACTGTTCACATTTCCTTCACCATGCTTTCATCGATGAAAATATGTATAATCTATGGTTCTGACTTCTCATAGTTTCCAATCTGATGAACAAGCCTTGCTGTTTTCACTAGTTATTACTGATTCTGTGTTGTGTAATCCTTTTGTACTGTTCTTCGCTTGTTATATGAAAATCCCATTTCATAGACCGTAAATTACATTCTGTAAATATCTCAATGAAAATCTTAAGATTAATGCAATCTAAAAAAAAAAAATAGCTCAATGAAACTCAAAAGATCTCTCACGTTCTGTAAGAAGAAGCATCGATAACTAAAAAGGGCCCAACCGGGTTCGAACCGGTGACCTCTCGATCTGCAGTCGAATGCTCTACCACTGAGCTATGAACCCATTTATTTTAATTTCAACATATATAATATATACTTAAACCTGATTGGTTCTCTGATAGTCGTCATCTTCAACCTCTTTATGACATCCCAAATTCAGGCTATAAAAAAAAAACACTGCTCTTTCTCCGCCGCCGCGCCGTCATATTTATTCCCGTCGGCATATGCAACCGGTAAAAAAGATGGGAAAACGAGGAGCTAAGAAGCTTACAAACACTCAAGGAGGACCTAATCTTAGATATGTATTAAGACATGAGCACTTGAAGAATCTCGCTCTCTGGTCTTTCGCCGGAGATACTCCGATACCGTCTCTTGCTTCCTTGTTCGGTCGACGTCTCGCTGCCAACATTGAAACCACCGGAATCGCTCCTAATCCTGATCTCGTCTCTTGTCAAAGGTACCTCGTACTTTACCTATTTTGGAATGTGAAACCGTCGATTAGGTTTGTTTTGCATTGATTTACAAAAACCTTTTGTTTGCTTAGAATAGTGAAAAGTCATTGTTCTGAGTTTTTCGATTCCTTAATGTTGTACAAAGAGAGGATATTTTTGAATTTTAATGTCAGGATTTACCTTAAACTAGGCTATGTAGTGATGATTCAACGTTTATCTGTAGGTGTGAGACCAATCTTAAGCCTGGCTTCAGTTGCAATGTCAGAGTCGAGAAGGTTTCCGTTAAGCAGAAGAAACACACCAAGTCTAACCTCTGTTTGACTCAGAACAATGTAGTTTACCATTGCAATTTCTGTTATCACCGGAACCTTAAGAGAGGTACTGCAAAAGGTCATACACGTCCCAAGATCAATAAAGAGATGACGACGATGCCTCAGGAAATCCAAAGTAACATGCTTTCTTCACCTGTGAGAAGTGAGAAAGATCAGGTGGAGGAGAATGGTGTTGTCAATACACCGAAGCCAATGATGCTTACTTTGGATAGGGATAAGAGAATACGAAAATCCAAGAGTAAGAAACCGGTTGAGCCTGAAAGTGTTGCGGAGAAAACAGTTGGTGAATCAAGTAAGAGGAAGAGAATACGATTGACAAACAAGAGTTCTAGAACAAACTTAAAGATACCTTTTCTCTTTTGATTTGTTATATTTGGAACATTAGAGTAAATATTATCCCTTGACGAGTTTTGGTCTCCGTGAGAAGTAAAAGTCATAGTACCAGTTTCACAACTGGTCCACAAATCAACCTGCATCAAGACCACAAGAATTATGGCATTTTGTTCAAGTCTCTGGGAGAAGTGAAAGTCATAAGTTCTTTCTCTCGACTTTAGAGACACAGCCTTGTAGCATTTGAAAACCTGATGATCCAATAACTAAAACACTTGGTCCGTTCAGAAAGAGATTGGCGCTGAAGATGGCAGAGGTTAACTTGGTCCGTTCAGAAAATTAACTTAACACGGCCGACCCCTCCAACCACAAGGCCCAAAATAGAAAAAGGAAAAAATTAATAGTCGGCGTCGCAAAGGGTACAATTGTAATTTACAATTAGTGTTATCTTAAACCCTAACTTATTTTCCGATCGATTCAGCACTATAAATAAACTCTTTCTTTTTCTAATTTATTATTTACTTTGTTCTTCTTCACCCTAGCCGCTAATCACTTCTGCGACATCTCTGAGGTAAGCGTTTTCGTACGCATCGTCGTTCTGTTTTCTTCTCTTCTGCTGAGCTTTGCTGAAACTGTTTCTCGATCGCTTATCGTTGTTTTGCTGTTGTGCTTATCTCAATGATTCTTCTTAGTTGATTGATCGTTTTTGAATATCTGATCTGTGGTTTAGAGTTGAGTCCATTGGTGAATTCTACGTTTAACAGTGCAATCGTAGTGTTTTTTGCATGACTGTGGTTATAACTAAATTATCTATCATCGGATCAATCTTTGTTGTGATGTTTCTGTATCGATTTGTATAATAATATCGTAATTCTGGAGAAGCAATACAGATCCGTTGTTTCCTTCTTCTTGAAATCAAGTCGGGTAAACTCTCGGATTTGTTTGCTATAGAACTCCTGAATTACTGAATTGTGTGAATAAAGCTCGCTTAGCTCAGTTGATAGAGCACCACATCTTTTTGTGGTAGAAATCGGTTCAACTCCGATAGCGGCTTTTTACTTTTATTATTGTTTTGTTGAGAAACATTAGTTTCATATTGATTATATATATCTCAACTGTGTATTTGATTGATTCTATATGATTGATCTCTTGTTGCAGATTCTTTTTGACAAGCTACCATGGGTAAAGAGAAGTTTCACATCAACATTGTGGTCATTGGCCATGTCGATTCTGGAAAGTCAACCACCACTGGTCACTTGATCTACAAGTTGGGAGGTATTGACAAGCGTGTCATTGAGAGGTTCGAGAAGGAGGCTGCTGAGATGAACAAGAGGTCCTTCAAATACGCATGGGTCTTGGACAAACTTAAGGCTGAGAGAGAGCGTGGTATCACCATTGACATTGCCCTCTGGAAGTTTGAGACCACCAAGTACTACTGCACTGTCATTGATGCTCCTGGTCATCGTGATTTCATCAAGAACATGATTACTGGTACCTCCCAGGCTGATTGTGCCGTCCTTATCATTGACTCCACCACTGGTGGTTTCGAGGCTGGTATCTCCAAGGATGGTCAGACCCGTGAGCACGCTCTCCTTGCTTTCACCCTTGGTGTCAAGCAGATGATCTGCTGTTGTAACAAGGTAACCAAATCTTTTTTTATATGTTATGGACAAGTGCTTGTTTCTGGTTGTGTTTAGTCCCCCTAACTTTGTATTTTCTCATTATTTTTTGTAGATGGATGCCACTACCCCCAAGTACTCCAAGGCCAGGTACGATGAAATCATCAAGGAGGTGTCTTCCTACTTGAAGAAGGTTGGGTACAACCCTGACAAAATCCCGTTTGTGCCAATCTCTGGATTTGAGGGTGACAACATGATTGAGAGGTCCACCAACCTTGACTGGTACAAGGGACCAACTCTCCTTGAGGCTCTTGACCAGATCAACGAGCCCAAGAGGCCATCAGACAAGCCCCTTCGTCTTCCTCTTCAGGATGTCTACAAGATTGGTGGTATTGGAACGGTGCCAGTGGGACGTGTTGAGACTGGTTTGATCAAGCCTGGTATGGTTGTGACCTTTGCCCCCACAGGGTTAACCACTGAGGTTAAGTCTGTTGAGATGCACCACGAGTCTCTTCTTGAGGCGCTTCCTGGTGACAATGTTGGGTTCAATGTTAAGAATGTTGCTGTCAAGGATCTTAAGAGAGGGTATGTCGCCTCCAACTCCAAGGATGACCCTGCCAAGGGAGCAGCAAACTTCACCTCCCAGGTCATCATCATGAACCACCCTGGTCAGATTGGTAACGGTTACGCCCCAGTCCTGGATTGCCACACCTCTCACATTGCAGTCAAGTTCTCTGAGATCTTGACCAAGATTGACAGGCGTTCTGGTAAGGAGATCGAGAAGGAGCCCAAGTTTTTGAAGAATGGTGATGCCGGTATGGTGAAGATGACTCCTACCAAGCCTATGGTGGTTGAGACCTTCTCTGAGTACCCACCATTGGGACGTTTTGCAGTGAGGGACATGAGGCAGACTGTTGCAGTGGGTGTCATCAAGAGTGTCGACAAGAAGGACCCAACTGGAGCCAAGGTTACCAAGGCTGCAGTCAAGAAGGGTGCGAAGTGAACTCTGTTCAACAAAACTTTATCTTCCGCAGGTGAAAGAAAGAACGATGTTAGTATTTTTACTTTAGTTTGGTATGTGGTCGCGTTTATGTGTTCCTGTTTTGTATCTTCTCCGTCAAAGCGCTGTTCTCGTAATTGGGTTCTTGATCGGAGGTGGCGGAGCTACGCGCGCATGCTTCCTGTGTTTTGCTTTTTATTTGTTTTCCAGCCTTGAACCTTTTTCTGAAATTATGTTATATGAATCAATATCTTTCCTACGGGTATTAATTTCTTCTTAGATTGTGTTAAATTCTGTTTCTGCAACTTTCTTTGAAATAAACTAGTTTTTTGTTATGAAAACTTCAATTTTAATCGAGCTCCATTTTATAAATCTTAATTATTCTAATAGATACGGTTTTGATTGGAAAATCTAAGAAAACTCCCCCTTGAAAAAATCGAATATTAACACTGCCAGTCAACAACAATTCGAGCCGCCACGAAAGGAATACAGGCGTACCCCGGAGACAGTAATTTAGATCGATATAAAAGAGAATTTAACCACATAAGTGATTTTTATATACTTTATGGCACTGATTTTGGAGAATTCGGAACGAAAATTGTGTAGAAGCTGAAGGCTTTGGAAGGTACAAACAGATAAGGCGTCTAGAGGCATACTAGCAGTGTTTCATACGAGTGCTCGTGGTGGATGCTGGTGCCAAAACCGAATAAATCACAATGAGATGATCAGCAACTCAGACTCTCTCCTGCATACGTCATGCAAATACAAAAGTTTTGTTGGCATTTGGTTAGAGACGCACGCACAACCAGATCCTATCATAGTTATTTTCTTGGATAGCACTCTCGCATTCACAATATAATATATATTTTTTTAAAATGTCATTTGTCAATGAATAGTTGAATACCCTATTTTAACAAAACAAATAGAAATCAAATAATGTAAAAATACTACTTCACTGACGTGAACATCTCGTGGTCATCAATCAAACTCATACCTTTTTTTTGTCCCACTTTTCCAACATATGTTCGACTTTCTATGTCGATGTGATTGGAATCCTCAAAACCAACTTTAATTTTCTTAACTTAACTTGATAGCTCTGAGGATATATATATCACTAAGTCCATCCTTTTCACAGTGATATACACATTTTTATGGTTTCTTGTTATTCCATAACTTCACCTGGAAGCTCCACCCATCCATACCACTCAGTCATACTTTTCTCTTGGTGTGCGCTTGGAACGCTTCACCGAAAGGTGCCTTAACCAATCATACGCCATTCTCCATTTCCTTCCAAACCTAACTCTCAATCAATTTGGTTTTGTCCACACGATTACTTACCCTTTCATGCTAAGTGCTAAACCTGAGCCTAAAACATACTTAAACAAAAATAAACAATTTAATAGAAGTGATTCTCGACGTTACACAAAATGATGAAATTCTTGTATATGATACATTTTATAACAGTTTGATGTACAAAGATAGTCTAATTTCTCTTTGTGTTGTTTCGAGTGATCAGAACCGTAACAGTTTGATAATGTTTTTCTACCAGCATTTCAATACAACCTAATGAAGTATATGTTTCCAGATGATGATAAGTACGTGCTAAATACTTGCTGGAAAATGTAACCATTTGTTATAATTTTTCACTACGTTATAAATTACTTGCTGTAAAAGTCGTTAAGAATGATGGAGAGACCTGCAATTAAAATAATTTAATTTAATTTAAAAAATAATAATTGGGAAGAGGGATGATGGCGAGATCTAGGGGTAACACTGTCATAGTACATAAAGATATTTTTTTATTAAACCCTAATTTTTATTTTTTCCTCCTTTCACCAATATAAATACAAACTCATATGCATCTTCAACTCATTTCCCTAGTTCTCTTCACACTTCGTTTAGCCGCAAAATCGATCTTCCTTTTGTTGATCGCTTAAGCCGAGGTAAGCGACGCGTCTACGACCTGAATTCTTCTATTGACCTTCGTTGATACGATTTTGATCCGTTCTCGTTTTATTCTTCTTCTTCTTCTTCGATCCGTTCATAGTTTATATTGTTCCTGAATTTGATGATCGTTTTAATAGTATCGTTTAGTTTCGTTGTTTCCTTGGCCTAAACCTTCTGTATTGATGAAATCAACGTCTTATTGTGTAATTGAATTAATTATTTTTTTGGCTGTATTTGTTTCTTACAGTTCTTGTTCTAATCGGTCGATCTGGTTCCGTGAATTGTTAATTGGATCTGAGTGAACTAGTTATGTTCTTAGGATGTATGTGATTGTTATAGTCGATTTGTCTTGTGATCGGTAATTTTGGAGAAGCATAACAAATCCATTGCTTCCTTCTTGAAATAAAGTAAATTGAAACTCTCGGATTTGTTTGCTATAGAACTCCTGAGTTGCTGATTTGTGCGAATTAAGCTCGCTTAGCTCAGTTGATAGAGCACCACATTTTTTGTGGTAGAAATCGGTTCAACTCCGATAGCGGCTTTTTACTTTTATTATTGTTTTGTTAGAGAAACATTAGTTTCATATTGATTATATATATCTCAAGTGTTTATTTGATTGATTCTATATGATTGATCTCTTTTTCTGCAGATTCTTTTTGACAAGCTACCATGGGTAAAGAGAAGTTTCACATCAACATTGTGGTCATTGGCCATGTCGATTCTGGAAAGTCAACCACCACTGGTCACTTGATCTACAAGTTGGGAGGTATTGACAAGCGTGTCATTGAGAGGTTCGAGAAGGAGGCTGCTGAGATGAACAAGAGGTCCTTCAAATACGCATGGGTCTTGGACAAACTTAAGGCTGAGAGAGAGCGTGGTATCACCATTGACATTGCCCTCTGGAAGTTTGAGACCACCAAGTACTACTGCACTGTCATTGATGCTCCTGGT